CGATAATTTTTATTAAACCGTAAGATCTTATGACTGTAAGCTAAAAACTTGTACTTCCAAAACAAATATCCATTTTTATTAATTATTTTCGAATCTATGACAATTCAGTCATGTCGTCGACGATTACTCCATTGCACGGACTAAAACGTTTGCCTATAACGCCGTTGCTTGCATGGTATGAGAAAACAGAATTACAAAATTGATAAATTATGATTACGGCGAAGGGCCTTTCAATACAGCGATATGTTTAAATACATAATCCATATACATTTCGCATAACAATGACGTTAGAATTTGTACATACTCATTACAAATAATACACGCACTAAAAGGTCATAATGAATTTCACATGCCAGCAAGCAGAACAAAAGGGAACTCGAATTCAGGTCGTTTTTTCATTTAGACACAGAAACGCAATTTCGGACATTTATCGCTGCGAACGAGTACCCGTATGCGTTTCGCAACCACAATAAATCGAAATGAATCACATTCACGATAAGATAAGAATATATGATTTAAGAAGATAATAGAGATTTTACTTAAGTTTGACAAAATCATTGATTTGTTCATAATTAGAGTTGAAAAATATAGTTTTAAATTTAGATAACAAACTAGTGGGGTGGGTGGCATCGTGCCTTAAAGCAAATTGCTGGAACTTACCGTACCGTAACGAGATGTTTGAGGAATACTGAATGTTTTCAAATAGATTATTATAAATATTGTAACATTGTCTAATATTTATAAGAATTATATAAATTGCAAAGTTGAAATTATTTGTTTAAAGTATAGTAGAACTATAGTCAGAATTAAAAATAAAATCTGAATTATTATTTTCGATATACAAAAAATTAAAAAAAAAAAAATTGAAACAAAAATTTTTTTACCAAAATCTATTATTTTGTTAAGACAAGCAGAAAGTTCTTTGAATCATTCAAACCGGACGCTTAGTTCTCTCAAAAACTGCCATTTTTTACATATTTAGCCCCGTATCTTCGAAATGGCTGAGCCTGCCTCTGCCAAAAACTAATAAACACTTCTCCCAATCATTACTAATTGAATGTTTTTTAGATCATTCAAATCGGATGCTCCGTTCCCTCAAAAACTCGATTTCTATTTTTTGCACTCTTTGCTCGTTATCTCCGTACCTGCTGGACCTGCTTCTACCAAAAACTAATCAGCACATCTCCTTATCAATAGGAATCGAATGTTTTTTAAACCATTCAAATCGGTTGATCCGTGCGCCCGAAAACGTGACTGGAAATTTGTATCCATACATACATACACACACACACACACACACATCCATTTTTTCTGAGGTATGCCAAAACGTTCAGAAACCTTCAAAACGTCGAGAAATGTAAAAAATTTCAATTCCGATTTTCGGCCCATTACAATAACTTACCCTACGGGAAGTTAATAACACATTAAGTAAAAAAATGCTATATTTAATAGGTAAATGAAATATTTTTATGACTCCAGTTCTTCAATGGTATGAAATTCGGTAAATGAATTATCATACTCTATAATATAAGGTTGTCAAATATCTCCCTTCCGCCTTTTTGTATTATAAACCAAGAGCAAAAAAGCGGAAGGGAGATATTTGACAACCTAATATATAACCTGCTAATAACGTGTAATGTAATGTTCTACAAATATCAAGTTGCTGAACAAACGAAGAAACTCAAATTGTAAAATGCCATTTACGAATCATATGACATATCAATTGATTAAAATATCAAGTTAACGAAAGAAAGAAAATAAACGTCATTGTATCTCCACTAGCCAATAAGACTAAATATACGAGTATAATGAAGATAAGACAAATATATAAGACATATAATGTAACAAAGTCGAACGCCAATGAAAAACGAAACCAAAGTGCGCAACCGGCAAAAGCAAAAGCAAAAGCAATAGTCTCTGAACGAGACCGAAAGTCAATGGTGAATCTCATCTCTCGAATGGTTGTGTTGCGAAGCGATAGAGGAATTCCGTTCCATCTGGAATGAATCACACGAGAACTACTCGTATACTAGAATGAGCGCGTGCTAGAACGGAGAATCGGCATGTCAGTTTAAACTACGCGCCACCGCTCTATGCTAGAGGAAAACTAGGTCAATCGACCCGGCCGACTATGAAAACACAACTACGAACTCGTGCTGTTGCACAAGAGCGTACGAAGCCGGGACGGAAACACACGACCGCTCGTACACTGGACCAGTAGGTCGACAGTTCCACGGGTAAGGCCTAACTTAATCGAGATCTCGAATCTCGGTGGGGGCTTGTTTACAAGCGAGAGTGACATGGCCAGGGACATGCTCCCAACTGGCGGATCGACGGATCGACGGATAGACGGATAGACCGCATTTTGCTATAGCTTGGTTCCTTGATGAACCAAATAATTTAATCTAATTCATTTTAATATTTCATTACAAAACTAGAGGTGCAAGTCATCGTGCCTTAAGGCAAATTACTGGAACTTTACATGCCGAAAATTAAAATTTCCTTTAAATTAAAGCTTTAAAACTTGGCAAAAATTTTATTTAATGAAGAGTTAATAAAAAAAAAAAAAAAAAAAAAAAAAAAAAATTTGGAAGTTTTGAGCTTTTTTTCGAACCAATCGCGCTGCGTTAGCTGCGTAGAGACAAAATATTGAAGCGCGTAAGCGCCGTGTCGCAATGTTATTATACTATTACTTATTATACTATTACTATAATTATAGTTATACATACTATAACTTATTATACTATTATAGTAATTATTATTAAAATTTCTATAAAATATCTGATAATTTGATATGCCGACATATACACATTGATCATGACCGCAAAATGGTATTTTTGTTCACTTATTTTATTGGTTCTCCAAAACCGCTAAACCTACTTCCCAAAAATCTGATTTTCTTTTCGTTAATACTAATAAAAGTGTTTTCTAAATCATTAAAATCGGACTATCCGTTATTTTATTTCATTTTGCCCCATACCTTCAAAACGGCTGGATTAGCCTTTGCCAAAAACTAATCAAAAACATATCAATAGAAATCATATTTTTTGAATCATTCAAATCGGTTGATGAAAAGCTTATGAAAGATTAATGAAAATTTTAATTTTCGGTACGGGAAATTCCAGCAATTTGCCTTAAAGCACGATGACTTGCACCTCTAGTTTTGTAATGAAGTATAAAAATGAATTAAATTAGATGATTTGGTTCATCAAGGAACCAAGCTATAGCAATGCGTCTATCCGTCGATCCGTTCACGAAATCGTCGAAAAAAAATTGTATTCGAACACACACATACATCTATTTTTTCTAAGGTATGCCAAAATGTTCAGAAACTTTTGAAACGTAAAGATTTATAAAAATTTTTTTCATTCTTTTGCGATTACTATTACTAACGGGCACAAAATGAATGGATGGCACAAAAAGTTAAAAATAGATAGAAATGGGTAATGAGTCAAAGAGAATATTAATTATCTATTGATTTGCAACATAGAAATTAAAATTATTTGAATATTTTCATTATTAACTTATATTTTGTAAAACGTAAAATAGATAAATTTCATAAACTTATTATTTCTTAGATTTATAAATATATACTATAATAGACTATGAAACAACAACCTGATAAGAATTAGGATACAACTTTTAATAAAGATGAATAAAAATCAATCATAAATGATATATTAGAATTGAATTATTTAATATCTGATTGTAATTTTCTGTTGGCGTTCAAAGCTTAAGTTAATAACAGAATCAACCCTAAATTATTATCGTGACGGAAGCTATTGCATTAAGAAAATCAATAGTAGTTTTGCGATTCATCGAAATAGCTACACAATATTGATCTTTAAAGGAAGTGTTGCTCATCGACACAATTTACGCAACGAATCACAGTTTAACATTTGAACTACTATTTTAAAATACAAACTCCTCAGCATTTCAAGCAGAATCTTATGAATAATATATTTGGATAGGATCAGTTACAAATACTTTTAAATAAAATCAATTTAAAGAAGGCAATTAAATATTATAATTCATATTATAAATAATTACAAATATTTTTTTCTTTGAGTTGATTGATAAATTAATTTGATCATATAAATCAAATTACTCAAAAGTCAAATTTTATACTTGCATCGTTCAAGTCTATTTACGTAAATGTTTATAGGTATGTCAAAATAATGAAAAAATTCCAACATTATAATTGAAAATTGTTTCTTCACATTCTTGAACACTGCATGAATTTTAAAGAAGTTTCGGATTGTTTTATATGATGAAAGAGAAGAGCGAGCGCCCAAATTTATACAATATCTTTAGTGCATATTGGGCTGATGATACGAGTATTAAATAGACATAAATTATAGCGTTCAACTAAAACAAGAAATGAGATAATAAAAATATGTTTGAACAAGTATGGTAGATTTTGAAGTGAATGTCGATCATCTACAATATGAAATAAAATACTTTAGATAATCAGATAATATACATTAGTACAATTAAAGTTATCATCAGAATGTTGCCTCTCGTGTCTCATCACGTGCAGGATTGCTTTTTGATAATAAAAACGAGCTAATATTTAAGCAATAACGATTCATTTGTAAGTTTCTCTAAAACAAATATATGGTAAAAGCTATTTCGTCAGAGTTTTGTGGCATGAAGATAGCGATCTCGCGTAACGGTTGCCGTAGATGTTAAGAAATATATTCTTTCTTAATTTACATCAATATATTCCTAATTTAGTGCGACCGAAATATAAGTTATATATTTTTAGTTAAATTTCTGAAGACTGTGATAAAACCATCGGTGTATTTTTAAAAGTTATAACATGGTTTGTAGCAAATTAATAAGAAGTCATTTATTAAGAAACAAAATATAAATTAAAAAAATTATAAAGATTTTTTAATGAAAAATATAAGTAATTCGGTACTCATCATGGTAATAAAACTAATTATGCTGAAGTCATGTTGCAAATGAAGTAAAGATAATAAAGTTAAAACACCCACCTTCAAGTTTCATGCCGACTTCAAGGCATTTCTGGAACCTACAGAACGGACACCTTTTCCTTTGCGTTTTGTCGATATGACAACTGCGTTCTGCAACGCACGTGTAGACCTTTTTGTTTTGTACAGTTCGCTTGAAGAACCCTTTACAGGATTCACATGTTAGGAGACCGTAATGGTATCCCGATACTTTGTCACCGCATACGGGACATAACTCCTCGATGACGTCTTTCATTTCCGTCTGATCGCATTGCGCAGTGGTGGCCGGCGTTCCAGGCAGCAGGCCCATGTATCCAGGCGGGCCGCTACCAGAACCCGCGCCCTCCATCGGGAAACCAGCAGCTCCTGAAGAAAACAAGTAGGAAACATCCATGTTACACATGCCATAAGAAGGTGCCTGCGCTACAGGAGCCTGCTGCTCCTGCTGACAGGGCGCATACGCTTCATATTGAGGCGGAGGCATTGAGCCGGCAGAGGCACCCGAATTATTATTGTCATTGGCGGCACCGGAATGCTGTTGAGGAGCAGCCCCCGGACTGTCAGTAGGACTCAGACTAAACGGGGACATGTTCAAAGACATGAGTGCCGAATGGTGATGCTCCATGTCTAATAACATCGCACGCGCGGTCTACACTAAACGATCGCAAAACACTTTTACTTTCTTTATTTATCTAAAACAAAATGTTACAATTGCTGCACACGAATAACGTTAAAAATCGCCGCAGCATACGGGCGGTACCGAGGTCCCACCGCCCGGGACATTATGAAATAAATGCATAGAAATAAATAAATAAAAAACGAATCCATAAATTTAGAAAAACGTGCGCATCTATAATTCTGAATTTCGCACTGACACTATCACACAATAACTCAAAAACAACAACATAAAATCACTGATAATGTAATCCTACAGAAAACTGTCGTTCTGTATAACGCTAAACACAGTGTACCGAAATGTCACAACACAACGTAAACTGAAACGTGAGGTGCGTAGCGGCAGGTGGAAAAACACGTCTACGATCGCTGAGCGACGAGTACGAACTGACTCTATATCGCTACACAGTATGTAATCGCGGTCCGAAAGAACGAGCGCGCTGCATCGGGTCGTCCCACTTACGCCGCGTTCGATCTACGGGACTCATCGGCTCGGTCGCCGGCTTGGTCTCCGGCTCGGTCGCCTGGTCGCGATGGATGGAGAGCCGAAGAGACCTATTGCTTTGCTTTGCTATTGCTGTTGCCCGAGCGCAAACCCGCACTACACAATGGTTAACGATCATTACTGTTGCCCCCGCTCGTCTCTGCCCCTGCACCAGCGACACAGCACACCGGGCGTGCAATAAGTGAAAGTGTCCGCAACTCGCGCTCCGAGTGACCTACTTTCCCGCGAACCAGGTCTATGTTAGTCACAGCGCGCACGCGTACCGCACGCACACAGAGCCCGGGATAAGTTTTTACTTGTTACGCCATCGACATCATACCCATACGACTGTGTGTATGATCGAATATGTCGGTAGAAGAGAGGGAATCTCTATATCGCCGTGTCCTACTGACCCAGTTAACATCATCGCCATCCAGACTCGCGATACTATTATGAAGTGACGCAGGACAGGGTTCTATGCTCGCCCTTCTACGACGGCTCCTGCTGCATAATACCCGATTAAGCGACAATACCGGCGCGACGAAGCGCAACATCTTATGATAGCAATAAGCGATGAAAGCGAATCTGATTTGGACGCTTACGATGACTCGGCGATAAAGTACGAGTAATAAATAATGGAACATTATGACAAGCATGCCATCAATAAAACTACTCAAGCAGGCCTATTACGCTCAAATAAGTTAACATTTTAATGTTCTTTAATTTTTAATAAAATTACTCTTTATATATACTTATATAAATAAAACAAATTTATAATTATAAAAATAATTTCGTTATGCGAAACCATTTTAACGCATATTTGTCAGCAATTGTAAGCGTTTACTTGAAACGCAGGGATATAAAAATGTAACTGTACATAAATAATATTAGTAAACAAATCTACGGGAGGGTCCATAGAGACCTAGTCCCATATTGCGACTATAAAATTTTTACAACCGTCAAAAAGCTGTGTATTACACTCAGCCAAGAGTCAAAACGAAAGCCAATATACAAGCTGTTAACTTTCTGGGCTTTTATTATTCGTTATGAATAACTGTTATGCCGACAACATCCTTTACAGGCAGTAAAACATTTTGGTTAATTTTATTAGTACTCTCTCTACCTGGAGAGTAATAAGACAGCTATACCTAATCGATCGCTTGGTTTTATCCAAAGTTTTGTATGACGAGAATTAGTCATTCACAGCATATAATACAATACAAAACATATCAAAAATCACTTTCGTCAAAATAGCAACTTCCTAACCTCAAAGCAAGTATTTATTAGTAAGTGTTATGTGCATATTGAAGAATTATGTCAAACAAAATTGGAAAACTAAATGCGATCTTTATATTACACAGGCCAACAAAAAAAAGTTTTTTTTTTTGGTGCCTCAAATGTTAGAGCTGATTCTTATAGTATTTTTTGCGCTGATTTCAAATCTGCAATCCATTTTTTTGTATCAGCTCTAGTTTTTGAGATACGAAGAAGTTGCCGAAACCAGGTCCATTCGAGGTCGTCACGGAAAAGAACTTTTCACAGTGTCAACTAATGTCCCAACTAAGGCCGAATGGGTCTTGTAAGTTTGTATGTACAAGTAGGCATATCTCATTACAATAACATTCTGAATTGTATTACTATTTTGTACTTTCGTTTCTTATATTAGGTGCGCAACTAAGTTCTCGCTGTTTGTCAGTATATGGCTTTATCAGTAAGGGTTGGTCGATTTTGACAAATCCAAAACGTCTTGAAGCAAGCTTAGAGTAAGTAAACAAACTGCTGCGACACCTAATTGATTTCGTTTTTGCATTCTATACTTCTGGTTAAGTGAATATGTCCAATTTTATGCCAAACAATCGTCATTTGCGGGGAGTGTTGATTTTCGTCTTCCATTAAAAAAAAACGGCAGCAAAGTGCATCGAGAGCTACGGAAATGTTGCTCTGAGCGAAACAACATGCCATGAGGGGTTTTGTCGCTTCAAAAATGGTGATTTTGATGTTGACGACCACCCTCGTGAAGGAAGGCCAAAACCTTCAAAAACGCTAAATTGAAGGTCTTGTTCGAAGAGGATTCGTGCCAAACTCAAGAAGATCTTGCTTTAGAATTAGGAGTTACCCATCAAACCATTTCCAAGCTATAGTATGCGTCGGGGATGATTTAGAAGCAAGAAACTTCGGTTCCTTGTGAGTTGAAGACAAGAGACGTCGAGCGTCGTTTTTTCGCCTGTAAACAACTGCTCCAGCGGCGAGAAAAGAAGAGGTTCTTCATCACATCGTGACAGGTGATAAAAAATAAATACATTACAGCAATCCAAAGACGAGAAAATCTCGGTTCGGCCGAATATTCACTTCGAAGGTTATGGCTCTACATATGGTGGGACCAGGTCGGTGTTATTTGTTATGAGCTGTTGAAACCGAGTGAAACCATCACTGGAGAACTGTATCGAACTCAATTGATGCATTTTTTTATAATAAAGTTACATTTTCATCGAAAAAACAGCGAGAACTTAGTTGCGCACCTAATATCGTAAAATATATCATATATATCGTATCTTGAAAACTAAAGCTCATAGAAAAAAACCAATGTCATTTTTGAAATCAGCGCCCCAAATATACTTAAAAACAGTATTAAAATCGTTTGCACCATTTTCTTTGTTGACCTGTGTTATTTATAACTATAAATTTGATTGTTACATCAAAAGATGAACATAGACAAGAATAGAAATATATTCATTTTAAAAAAATTACAACAAATAGGCAATGCTAAGTTAAAACGAATAAAACAAACCATTGTAATTTAATAATCAAACGAATTATTTTGAGTAGCAGTAGCTCTGCCAAACGGCATCATAACTTAAAAATGCGTAACCATTATTTACGTCATCAGTTTTATATTAGTATCGATTTTCAGAATAATATGTTAACGTTTTTGTTTATAATTTGATAAAAGTATTAGCGATAAATGACTAACAGCCCTGCTAACAGCTGCATTAGTTTCTGTATTGTGAAACTGCTCATAACAACTGTTTTGTTTTCAATCGTCTATAACTATGAATTTTATAGCAACATTCAAAGTAAAAACAAATAAAATTGTTTAGTAAAACATTAACGAATATAAACAGGTGGCGATCGAACAATTTCCGGAAAGTATTAACAAAAAGATGCTGACATTGCGGAAGCACAAAATGCTGATCGTGCTTTGCTTGTTTAATTATTATTTTAATTTGCACTTGTTAATGAATATGACAAATGCAATTTTTCCTGATAATGCTGATCATTATTAAATTACATATACTACATGTATATATAATAATGCTATGTTTTATATGCTATTATAAAATATATATCAATATGCTCGTAAAAAAAACAATTATTGAAATACATATCTATAGATATATATCAACAGATGAGTTCAGTTGAGTTTAACAGTTTTCTTGAGAGATGATCTGAAGCTAAAGATGGATTTTCACTCATTGTTAGATATTAATAATATACAACAATAGCAATTGAATTTACAAGATTTGACATTCAGAAAAAAATTGAATTGAATAATTAAATATTAGAATAAAGAACGTAGCATAGCATGTAACAAAATTAGACGCTGGGAGGCACTTTACTTGCAACGTTGTAACGCAAGGGTGCGTCAAGAATGCTGAATAAAATTTAAATTTAATTACGAAACTCAAATTCATTTCTCATCATCAACATTCTTAACAAATGTATTTGAAACTAGTGGTGGCTGGCATAGTGCCTTAAGGCAAATTGCTGGAACTTCCCGTTTTTAAAAACTTCAACTTTTTTAAAAACTTTACAATTTTTTCAAAACTTTTATTTTTGAGAATTTTGAAATTTTTGAAAAAGTTGGTAATTTGTGAAAAATTATATTTTTTTATATTATGAAATTTTTTGAAAATTTTGAATTTTTTTAAAAATGCAATCGCCCTCCATTGCGGTTTCGAAAATGCAACGAAAAAAGTAAATAAAAAGACATTTGGTGGTTAGACATATGTACTCGTACATCAAATTATCAGATATTTTATAGAGATTTTAATAATAAGTACAAATTTTGTTCGCATTCTTTGGGCTCCGTACCAAGATTTATCAAAATTTCCAATAAATGTCAAAATATGAGAAAAATATTTCAATTTTCAAGGTCCATTGTTTTTCAAAAATTTCAAAATTTACCTACACTTACGTCAGAAATACG